AAACGAAAAATAACGTGTCAAGTATCATTCCAAATGAACCAAATTGGACAATTGACAATAGGGAATATTAACAAATACATGACAATCAGAGGAGATTGTAAATTGTTCAACCGGTTCATTCAAAATGATGTTTAACACATTATTTTTCGTTTTATATATATTTTAATTAATCTTTTATTAATTTTTTGTTTTTATATTTAACTTTTGTTTATAATATAGTTCAAAAACAAAGTGGTATCAGCGACTTTCCTCTTAATAACTTTAAAAAAAATTTGTTAATTTGTTTTTAAGTTTAATTAAATATTGATTGATATATTGATATATTCATAAAACCAGCTTAATTGCAATGCTTGCAAATATATTAAACAATTGATAGTATAATTTTCATAGAAATAATTTTCATTAAATAGAAATAATTTGCGATTATTGTGAAAAAGTGGGTCACTACGTTGGCTGACAAATTCTTTACTTTACTCTTGAAAGTGATTCAGAAATGTAATATTTTCATAAAGCAAATCGTCATCCAAGGATTGATAAAAAGAATAAAATTTCGCCGCATGAGAAACTCCATGATAATTACATTTGGTATATCCAAAAGATTTTAGATAAATATAAAATATATAAAAGATTATAGATAAATATAAAATATATTTATAAATGTTTGCAAATATGAATCTTCTTCATAATTAATCGTGATAATCAATCCTCATATTGTAGATCGATAAAGATCACAGATCAATAAAGAGATTCAATGATTAGAAAATGTTTCAAAAAATTTCAAGTGACAGGCGGCAAGATTTATTGCTACGGTATAATTGAATCATGCATTAAAAAAACAGAAACGAAAAAGACAATTTATATAATTATCATCGCAATATTTTCTATGTTTAACTTAATTAATGTTTCTAATATATTTTAAAACAGTGCTCGAGTTATAGCTTCTAGCTCCATTTTCGTAATGATGCCCATTGTTTTTTCTTTGTTTATAAAATATATATTGATTATATGATACGAATCAAAAAACACGAAATTCAGGCTAAAAATGATAATGCTTTGTAATAAACATTAAATTCTTATCATTTCCTACTATCATGATAGTACAATTATTATTGAAAAATTCTTATAAATTTTTACTTCTATTTTTGTAAATCTATCATGACAATTAAACGTCGCAATTATCTTAAGATTGCAATTGCATTAGAAAGTGTGATTTTCCATGACAGATTTATTGGATTTTCATTACCCAAATAATTATAATATTAAAATTATTTAAAGCAAATTTTGAAAATGGCCACGTCCGTTGCAACGTAATGCTTTATGATGTTTTACAACTGTTCGTAAAGTTTTTTTTATTCCGATAGAATCTCTTATCTCTTTAAGTCGGAAAATATAATTTATTCATATCAATAGAAAATTATAGATAATTGTGGTCTACTAAACGCGGCCAATAGTCCAGCTTCAATCTCTCTAATTCATATGCATGATTCAATTACAACAATTACTCGCTACTACAATCGGCCTGAAGTCCATGGGGAATATACATATATTTATATGTAGGCAAGCATTCAATACATTTCGTGCAGGTAGACAAGAGACATATGCGGACGTACGTGAATTT